TACAACAAAATTTTTCTAATACAAATAAATACAAATGCCATACAAGATACGATCGAATACAATGTACAAATAGACATGAAGTGATTCCTTACGAAAAAATAAGGCGAAATTATAGAATAACATTTTTTCATACGACGCTTCTATTTCGAGAAAATCGAGTTTGACAATTTATCAAGTATACTTGAACCTGGTTAATCCCGGACTGGGCAAGGATAAATAACCGACAGAACGTTGTTCTATGTGTAAAAATAAATCGAAAGTGTAGAATAAAATTTTATCGGAAGACATTCTGCTTTTGAGAAAAATAAATTTGCAAATCTATGACGCGTGTGTATAGGCCAATTCTTAACTAAACACGTTCAGGTTCTATTTTCATGAAAATGGAGATCATACTCGACATTTTCCCTGCTGCTTGCCTCCTGTTGATTGTTTGCTCGCATCCAAGTGATAATTAGCCACGATCAAATATGTTTGAGAAATTTTCAAATGCAATTGTCTCGAAAGCGAAGCGTCACGTAATAAACTTTCACTTTATATTTTCTTCCTACATTTTCATAAGGAACCATAATCGCTTGTACATGTTATGGTGTAGTTGAATATGTTATATATAGGTTGCATGCTGTTTGTATATTTACTTGCAGCCTATACCTATCTCATTTTTTGAAACGATTATCGTTTCCGTGATTCCATCGATTGTAATAGGATTTTCGTGCTATTTACAAATAAAGAGACATTTCAATGGAATAGAAATAATCATACGGTCCAGTTTTCGACGTTTATCGTGTCCCTGCTATCTATGAAAGATGGAACACACGAAAAGTCGATATGTCGTGGCTTGAACATCGCGCAGGCGTTCTTAAGAGAAACATCCCTTCGTATTTTTGTCCCGATTTTGGTCGATAATTCATCGTGGAATTCTGTCGCAAGTGTCCCGTGTCGGAAAAGGATTTGTCCGGATGCTTGCGATCGATCTGTATGACGAACAGTAAAGCGATTCTTTTATTTAATTGAACACATCGATGTTGTTTATTCTCGCGTGTAAGATGAATGGGACAAATAACATATGTTTCGTGGATGATTTTAAGACTTTTTTTATTTAATGATTAATGAATAATTCGAGGATAATTTTTGAAAATTATCTTCATATCGCGATTGTTAGATTTTGTAACATTTTCGTAATCAATTATAGTACAAGTAGAATGGTTAAACAGTAAGATAATTATAGTACTAATTTAAGAATAATAAGTTGCATAGTTGTCGTTTAATTAAAAAATGAAGTAAAAAGATATTACGAATTGTGGTAAAAGTAATGCTAATATAATATATATGCTTTCGGAATATTTATGTATATGGAATAATGTTTTCGCTTGATTATATCTATAGAATAGAATGACAAAGTTTGTCTGTGAAACCCTGGGGACATCCTTATTATTATCAGTGTATATATTCAAGGTATATTTTGATTTTATCGAATTTAGGAATTCCATTATATTAAAAAAAAAAAAAAAAAAAAAAGAGAAGATAGGAAGGGAAATAAAACAATACGAGGGTATACGGGATTTTTAAATACAATTACTTACGATATTAGGAAGTTTACAACTAACTGAATATTTTGTCAGATTTAATATCTTGATTCGAATAGATTCAAAGAAACGCATTATAAAATGGTACGATACAATGAAACTAAAGAAGTAAATAATATGAAATTACAGATGAACTGTGAAAGAATTCGAAGATTCGTGCACAGTTCGGAATATTTGATTCAAATGGAAAACTCTCCGACAATCGATCGCCTCATGAAAGAATAATTCCCCCATGTATTAAACCCACTGTCAGCCACAGGGGAAATTTCAGGACAATTTGGGGTAGTTCACCGTAGGGCTGGGAAATATTGAGGGGATAAGTGAAGATTTAAATAATGAGTATCATAAACAAATGTTGGTAAGAGATTTCGTGTATTTCATACTTTAATTAACCGAAGACTTATCGAGTCAATTTATCTATTTCAAACGGTATCATCGGTCCATTACGATCGTTTACAATGAGAAAAAATAATCCGATGTTCTGAAAAGAATTTGTTTAGATTCCAGTTTTTGAGAAAATAAGCAGAGAAAAAGATTAAGACAATTAATCATTTCAAGTTTGCAAATTTTCAAGATTTCACAAAGTTTCGGGGATTCCAGTTTCACGAATCTAAAGTCTAAGGACCAAGTTTCTAAGTCTAAGTTCCAAACGTTTACGAAAACAATTGATGAACAAGGTTCATCTTTTTCGCAATTAACCTATGTCGTACTAAACATGAGCAAACGTTCGAATATTCTTCGGTGATACTGCACATTGGGTATAAACGAGCACCGATCCAAATTCCATCGCATACTGCAAATCACCGGAGGTTGTTGGCCTCCTTTCGAAATAAAAGCGCGCCACGAAGATCCAATTGGCCACATTACCTCGGTAACTCGTTCTCATTTACGCGCCACATTTCGGGAGTTTTCCAGCGAAATCCTCTCGCGAGTCGCGGTCTCGATTCAATCGTCGCGAGAGACGAGTGTTGTACGAGAAATTAAGGCGAAAAACGCGGAAAGTTTACGGTGGACAAAGACCAACGCGCTTAAGAAAATAGAAGAAGAAAATGAGAGAAAAAGCCAGAGATAATAATAAATAGTACGCCTAACAGGATACTAAGTAGATCATAAAAAAGATTAAAGTTAATCTGCCATTATGCAAAATTGTGTTGCTCTCTCGCTTCTCTCCCGTTTCGTTATTATACGCGTTTCTATGCATACTTTTCATGTGCGTACGCAAGTACATGCACTATACCGTTCAAATGTTTGGAGTTACCATCTTACGATCGTCGAGAGCTTCCTTATCAGCTGTTAATTAAAACCAATTTTCTTTTCTTCTATGTACTATTAGTTGGTATTGAAAGGAATCATTGTTAGAATTTAGGTATAAAAATAGCATGATTATTATTACTGATTACATCGCATCGTTAATCGAAAATATGCACGAGAAACAAATAAACGTAGGACACAAAACCTACTATTAAATATTTGGGTCGATCCAAAGGTACAACTAAAACAATTCTCAACATTACAGTTTTTAATCCACAGGAAATTGCGATATCGCGTGACCAACTCACAAAATGTCCTCCTTTGTGAGAGTTCAAACCCATGAGAGAGAAAAGAAAAAAAAAAAAGAAAAAGAAAACAATGCTCACGGTTGTTGCGCTCATTTCTCATTTACCCGACGGAGCTTCTATTTTTCAAGCCGAAACTCATTATCGCCTTTCTCCGCTTGTATTTCACGCCACGTTTGATAAAACCATCAGATTGAAACAATAATGCATTTCTTGGGAAACTGAACACGATTCCGGGACGATTCATCGAGAACTGATTGCGCTAAGAACCGTGAAACAAACTTCCCTGGAAAGTGATTTTTAACCTGAAAGGAATCTACACCTTCGGTTAGGTTAAATATCTCATCGTGTTCTCGCCGCTCCATCTCTTCTCAGCTCCCATTAGTTCGGAAAGCTTTTGCAAATATGACCATACAGATAGCTAAGAGACCTATATTGCTTTCTAAAATAACAAGGATATCTAGTATTTCTGAAATATCGAGGATAACCGAGGTAGCTCAGATACATAGCTATATCACTTGACATTTAGGTTACCTGAGATTCCTAAAATATTTAGAACGCGTGTCACATTTAAGACATTAGCGGTGGCTAAAATATCTAGGGCAATAGCTTGATTTACATCAATTCCCAAAATCGATTCGACGAACGACATCACCGACAAATCTGTAAAAAGCGTTGTACGATTGTTCGTCGAATCACGAACCTCGGCGTTATCCATGAATAATATCAAATCAAATTGCCTGTCGATCATGAAACGAAAATGTCGATCAAGAAAGGAAAATGCCGAACAAAGGAACAAGCAAACGAAGCATACTTTCCTTCCATCAAGGGACGAATCTTGATTAATGGTGTAAGTTTCCAGCGTCTCTACGGCTTAGGCCATGCTCGGAATTTATAATGGAATGGGAGTATATTAAAATAGCCCTCACATCTGAAACTTGGTCCCTACCGGTAGGATGCCATTATCCCTGACGGCAATCATGGAAAAATAACGTCGTTCCTTACTGCAATTACCGCTTTATCTTTTGATCGATGAAGGCAATTATGCTTGGAAACGTTAATCGGGGACAAAAAGTCACGTTTCATCCTCTGACTTCGCATTAGTCATTATTAGCGGCGACCATCGTACACTGATTAGAGTGCTATTTACGTGAATGAACCTTTTCATCGTTGTTTACCAAGTCGGAAGTAATTGGTAGACAGACGCGCGTGAACGTCTCCTTTTGTTTTCTTCGTTTGGAATTCATTAACGTTCTGAATAATATTTCCCAATTGAGCATACTATTTTATTAATTTAGAGATAATAATTAAGTCGGGTAGAATTAGCAAAATAATTCGGTTGCTAGATTTTCTTCTTTTATCAATCCGAATTGCGTGTCGAATTTTAGAAAACGGTAGCATCAATCTTTTTCTTCGTAATCTTCGCTTCTTCCATCTTTTCTCATACGTACAAGGATGGCAATAAATAATAATCGATGATCGCGGTCGTTCATCAACCTGAATCTAATTCTTTCGAAACAAACCGCTGCTAAAATAGTTTACTACAGTTATTTATGAAACGAATTCGTACTTGTGGACGAGTATTTCCTAAACTCGTCCTTAAATAATTATCCATTCCCCCGGAAAGCATAGACATTTCACAGGAAACGAACAACAAACAATAACTATTCGGCTGTACGTCCGAAAACTGTTTCCTGCGGATGCAAATTCACGACTAAGCGCCGATATTACATACATCCAGCTTTGGCATACCAATTTGGATGCAGATCGGAATTACGTTTCGCCACGACGGATCGACTATGAAGTCCGAGTAACCCGTAGCTCATAGAATACCGCTTTGAAATGGAACGCTGGGACTTACCTTGTAACTGCTGACCGCATGTGCACCATCGTAGATGTAGAGGTGATCGTTGCAGTCCAATTGCAGTTGGTCGAAGCGTAGCATGAACCGCTGAAGGATACTATGCGTTTGGAAGGTGATGGTACAGTCTAGATCCTTCTCGAGCTGTGACATCAGGACAGCCCCGTCTATTTTCCTGTAGAGATCTCGCATATAATTCTTCTTGCACACGTCGCTTATTTGGTCTGAAAGAAGAAAATGATTGTAAAATGAGATAACCGACGGATTAAAACGAGATTGATAATTGTACAGAGGATATCTTTTTTTTTTTTTTTAGTTTCTTTCTATTCGGACACACCGTTGGTTTTATTAAACGAGATCTTAACTTTGAGAAAAATGGCAGGCTTAATAAAAAATTAACTGTCTGGCATATGTAAGAGAGATATTTAAAAAAAAAGAGAGAGCAAGAGAAGCGCAAATGAAACAGGAAGAAAGGTTCGTCACACGAGTCGTTGACCTATGGCAGCTAATATTGTACCAGGCAGACATTAAAATCAATGTTAAAATTCAATCTTAATTTTAACCCTCTATAACGCCGTGTAATTTTGAAGTGACATACCGATATCGACATCCTCTCAATTTAATTTCGTTTTTAGGTGCATTTGTACTCCACTGTAGCTTCAAGGTTAATAACCGTTTCCTGCATAATAACATTTTTGATAATTGTAAATTTTCACAAGGAGAATTTGCATTATAGAGGGTTAATTAAATTACAGTCTTCCTAATTGTTCAAGCAGCCATCATGGGAATTTTAGCCGGTAAAAATTCGGCGCCACCCTGCGTCCTCCCCCC